GGGTTGCGGTGAATATCATCCAGTATTCTCCTCCTCTCAACTCTTACGTAAACCAAATTTAAAAGTCTGTTTGCACTTCATTTTTTATAGTGCACACGCATCACATGATTTGTATTGGACCGTATTTGTTTATAACACCATCTGCTCTTGAATTGAATGACGCTTGAGGTATATGGTAAACAAATTTCTTTAAAGAAGCAAAATAGAATCCAAACAAAACAAAAGTATCTCCAGGGAGCAGATGTGTTCATGATAGTTTCGAAACGCGTCTTGTACAACGATCCCTCATCACTGAATACAAAACAGAATATTTAGTTTCCCACAACACAAAATAAGTTTTATACAAAGAGAGTATAGAGTAATCTAAAAAATAAACGTGTTATTACAAGACAAGTAATTCGTTTTATAAGTCTAGCGTCTAGTTTAAATCGTTGACCGAGCAGCAAGACATTTTGCATACACGTAATACGATCACTTCGCGGCAAAATCTTGTTTATGACATTGCCAATGAACTGTAGGCATTGGGTGTAATCTAATAGGCTGGTTTTGCACGGTTTTTAACCTTGCTTAATTTGGGTGGTTTTGGTGAAAACAGGAAAGTGTGAGGTGACTTAATTTTTCGACATACCCAGATCCTTATGGTTTGGGGCTCGATACCCCACCCACCCACTAACCAACCAACCAGCTAACCAACCAACCAACCAACCAAACAAACAAATAAACAAACAAACAAACAAACAATCAAGCGGAAACACCCCTCTCCCCAATACAAACCCCAATTAAAAACCAAAAAACCAAACAAAACAAAAGAAATAACAACAACAACAACAACAACAACAACAACAACAACAACAACAACAACAACAACAACAACAACAACAACAACAACACCAACCCCGGACTCTTATATTTGGAAGAAAGGTTTAGACACAGAAGGGCTTAGAAATCTTTCACATGGGTGTTCGTTAAGCTAATGGGTAGAGGGACGGGGCAAACCTGAGACAAGAAGATAGTGTAAATAAAGGAAATAAAGGAAAATGGGCACGTCTTGCATTGTTCTTTGACTTTCAGGGGAATTATGTTACCTGTAGGTACTGTGTCCTTCACGTGGACGGAACCGAAAGCATAAACAAATTGAGAATTCGCTACCTCAGAATTACAAAGTTCTATCTGCACAGACAAAGATAGTACATAACAAGATTGTCCACTCAGCCAAAAAAGTGTCTGCAGGAAGTCCGCTCTTTGCTTCAGATGGCGCTGCAGTCTGTTTTGAAGCTCTCTTTCGTTTTTCCAGAAGAAGAATAGGAATAGCACCTCCTTGTGTGCGCAGATCGACTGCTGTTCATCAGCAGTTCGGGTTCGTTCAGTGCGGAGTTTTAGTTACAAAATTTTTTTTAATGACCTCTCGTCTTTCATTCTAAAGTCGAATTAAACCTGAGAACAATCACCCTTTCCTCCGGAAGAGGTTTTTTTTTTGTCAGCGTAACCATTTAAAAAAAGCGTTCTTCCGAAATGTATTTAAAAACTTGCTAGTTTCACTTTGATTTGTTAAACTCAAGTAGGGTAACTCTGTTCGCAAAGGGTGTGCATTTGCGAAGAGGGCGCCACCAAATTTTGAGGACACTTTTTTAATTGGCTCAAAGAGAGAAGTGGCCCCTCTTGTTATGTAGACTCTTTGGCACAGATTAGGAGATTGCTAAAAGTATTGTGGAAGGAAAAGAAATCAAACGAGGTAGTGCTTGATGAAGCCCACGTGGGACGCTCAATGTTAAAGACAACCAGGAATCGTCAAATGCCGTTTTTGGGACACCTGAATAGACACAAGGGTCTTGAACATCTAGCTCTCACTGGCAAAATTGAGGGCAAGCGAGGCAGGGGTAGGCCCAGAACAACATACTTAGGGAACCTAAACAAATGGGTAACAGGGAAGGATCAGGGAAACGTAGCTTTTTTTTAAAGCATCCGAGCAAATGAATGAATGGAAAACTATGATCGCCGATGTCTGTGCAGATCTGGCACTGGTGATGATGATCTGCACAGTACCTAATTTTGATAAATTTGACGTCAAAGATTTTGAGTTTCACATCATGTCAAGCTTTTTTTAAAATGCAGTTCTTTGAATATCTTGATAATGACTCTGAATAATCTTACCATTTTGATAGTACAGAGAGAACATTAAAAATTTGGTTTCTGACCTCATGGTCTTAGTAATTCAAAACGGCAAAAAATGTCAGATAAAACTTTGTAATTCGAGGTAGCGAATTCATGAAAAGTAAAGTCTATATTAAATGCCTGTCAACGACGCTTTTTTAATTTGCTGTTACTAGTACGACCAACACATGGAAGTGCCGATTCAAATCCAAGCGTAGTTTAACCCTTCGAGCCCTGACTCTGCTGACCGTAGACTATATACCCCCTGCCCGGCCTCGTCGCTATTTTCACGTGGGTTACAACAAATAGACCAGACAACAAATACGTCACACACAATAACAAGATATCCTCATAGAAACTAATCAGAGTTGCCTGCCTCACATCTAGAGCCAGTAAATTTTTATTTTAGTAGAGGTTTTACGGCGCTCGCAACTGCATAAGGTCATATGAGCGCCAGAAAATTAGAGGTGTTACAAGATAGTAACAAACATAAAAAAGAAGAAGGGGAGATAAGGACGATAGATGTTTGATAGGAAAGAAGAAGCAAACCACACAAGAGCACCCGCCAACCACCCACAGAGCCAGTAAATAGTTTTTTTGCCCACACGTTTATGCCTAGAAGGGCCTGGCCCAGGCTCACTTGGATCTCTGACTCCTAGACAGGGGAAAGGGTCTATCCGGCTAAGCATCGATAAAGTCCCGGACCTGTCAGATTGTTTCTCGGATTTTAAGGGTTAAGAAGTTTTGGTGTCCTTTCAGCAGTAATCACTGCTCAGCTCGATGTCTTGTCAGGAAACCAACTTCTACACTTTCTAAGGGACGTATTTGTGTCAGACGAAGTATCAAACGACATCACTCCCTCCACTCACTACCAAACAAACAATTAAGGAAATCAACGACAACGAAAACAGGCGGACTAAAGAGAAACACATCGACACGACAAACGGTCATAAGTGCAGGGAAATTAGCAAGATAGACAGACAGAAATAATAGAAGGAAAGAAAAGAAGTGAGACCTACCAGGGGTGCCCTCTATCGCTTCGCAACAACAATAAAAGAAAGAAAACAAGAATCAAAGAGAAGACAAACATATAATATTCATATGCACTGCAAACAAATAAATAATAACATATAAACAAAGCATCCATAATCAAACGAACAAAATACAAACAAACAAAAAGCCAAAACAACTCATCACTCACACAGCCGCTCCTAAAGCGCTTTCTGCACAGGCATCCTGAAGGTCATAGTTCACCCAGATGGGCCTCAAGGACACCCGAGACACGCCCAGTGCCTCCGACAGTTGGAGAACGACATTCACGTTTGTGCCGCTCACTTGGAACGAGGCACTTCCAGTCACACCCCTCAGGTGGAAGTCCGCCGTCAGTTGCCCATTGGAGACGGCAACCACTGTTTGAAAAGAAGAAAGTATGAGGGAATGAACGACTGAGTGAGTGAATGAATAAAGAACACAACGGATGGATGAGTGAAAGAATAAGTTTTAATGGAGGAAAGGTTGGGCGAAAGGATGAATGAGTGAGTGAATGAATGGATGAATGAGTGAGAGAATAATAAATTCTAATGGAAGAAAAGTTGGACGAAAAGATGAATGAGGGAGTGAATGAATACGAAGATGGGCGAATGAGAGAGTGAATGAGTGAGAGAAGATATACATAGGTGAATGAAAGATAAAAATATTAGTAACCGTAAATTTCCCCCTTTCAAAATCGTCACCATTTAGGAGGCGGGCTGTTTCGGTCTTGCTTATCAAGGCGTACCAAAACTGAACAGAATACATGTACAGCATTTCTGTAGACCGAGCGAAATAATGGGGGAAAAAAGTTCATCATTTGGGAATGGAACTCACATCTTCGACGTGAAACAACAAAGTCACTCAAAGTGTGTAGCCATTACTTCACAGACGCCGGTTTGAAGGAGTGAGCGAAACGATGAACGAGTGCGCAAGAGACGAATGGACAAACTTATGAATGCATCAAAGAACCGACGGAATAATTAAAGCTTTGACGGATGAAAATGCTTAATGAATTATAAGAAATAATGGGAGAGAAAGGGAAAATACCCTTTGAATTAAGAATATGGGATATTTGTAGGAAGCAAGACAACCCTGCCTTATCAGACATGTTATTGGAGACGAACTGGAAAAAGAAAAATACGAAGACCTACTGGAAGCAAAAGAGGCACAATAAGAGATAAGGCAATGACCCAGGTTGGGTGTGCCGAAATTGGAGAACGTGGCCAGGGACAGGGACAGACAAGGGTGGCGTCGGCTGCTCTCCGTCTTATGTACCTGACGGTATAGTAAGTACGTAAGTACGTAAGTACGTAAGTACGTAAGTACGTAAGTACGTAAGTAAGTAAGCAAGTAAGCAAGTAAGCAAGCAAGCAAGCAAGTAAGCAAGTAAGCAAGTAAGTAAGCAAGCAAGCAAGCAAGCAAGTAAGCAAGTAAGCAAGTAAGTAAGCAAGCAAGCAAGCAAGCAAGTAAGCAAGTAAGCAAGTAAGTAAGCAAG